CTGGGTCATGGTTGGCAAATCTGGCACACCATCATCAACACCCCGAGCCTCCATTCACACCCAGCAGAGACAGACTCCTCGGAATCGAAATCATGGCCCTTCAGCTGCTACAGGGCGCCGAATCAGCACGCCGACCAATCGTCGCTCTACCATCGGCTTGGGGCCTCTGAATACGGCCGTGCCTACACTCGCAGAATCTCGGCCTGCATCAACAGCTTCCTATGCCTCCCCGCGGTCCCCGTCCCCAACGAAGATTCCCAATCCTGCCCCTTCAGCTTCCTTTTCCGCTCCCAGAAATCATTCCTCCCGTCGCCCTCGTTCACAAACAGGCGTCGTCGCAACAACACCTTCGCACCGACGGACGAACTCGGTTGCATCAATAGCATCACCCCGAGGCACGTCGTTCAATCAAGGCGCCAACGGCAGTCCCCGCCTTTCGGCCGAGGCGAGACAGCTTGCCGCCAGACGCAAACAGGAAGACGACGAGACAGATTACCGAATGGAGGCCTTCAACAAACAGCTCCAGGACATGATCCGGCAAGGTAAGGAGGCTCTCAAGACGACAATAGAGGTAGAAGGAGACGAAGACTGTGTTGGTGGAGTAGGATGGGAAGACTATCCGTGATGTTCATGCTGCCCCCATCCCATGATCAATGACGGTGTGAACCTCCCTCCCCTTGCCCACTAATGATGAAAAAGCCCTTTGTTTATATTTCCGATACCCTCGCTTGTAATGACTGCTTGATGGATGGCGATATCATCGCTGATTGCCTGTTTACGGAGTTTGGAGGTTGCTTGTATGAACACAGATTTGTTCTCATGTATTTTAGTTTAGACGGGACGAGAGCCCAGGGCGCGTGTCTGATGGACCAGTGCGTCACCGGCATCCCAGTAATAGTTGATTTATGACCGGTCAATGGATTTGCCTGCAAGATACGGCACAGAAGTAATGAATGATGTCTGGGGACTCCAATTATATCGGATCCAATGATCTGTCGGATAATGTTTATGACACATTCGCTTGTGTCATGCTAGTTGGACAAGCTTTGCAGCTACTGGAATGGAATATTCCTATGGCCGACTGTCTCTCTCTCTCCAACAAACATTGAACTATCAGAAGCAGCATGCTTAACCAAAAGGGTTACAGCCAAAGTGACGTGGAAAATCAGTTGCACCAGCTCGTAAATCTGGATCTGGCTCAGTCCCCACATGCCGTCGCTGCCATGACGGATCCACTAGAAAGTGTGTTTATAGAGCAAACAGCAAAAGTAATTGACGCTCTGCAACTTAATTACACCTCACTCAGCTTGTGACGACGACTTAGTCGGTGCCGGCAGCTTTGACGATTGCTTCCCCCGTCGCGTCGTTGCTGCCAGCCTTTGCCCTCCCTCCCTCCATTGAAGCTCCCACACTGTAGCATCAGCTCGTTCCGAATTAGATGGCTTGAACGAGCTGCTGTCGAAGGATGTCTGAACGCACGCCCAAGCCCAAGGCCCAGCCGCCCAACCCCGAATTCAAAGCCATTCAGAAGCAATGGGCCAAAGCGAAGCGAGAGGCCGACAAAAACAAGGCCCAGGCCGCCGCCGCCAGTGGCCAGGCCACGCGAGACGAGCAGAACCGCCTCAACAAGCTCGAGGAGCAGCAGGGCAAGATTGACACCGCACGGAAGCGCGGCTTCGAGCGCAAGTGGAATTGGACCTTTGCTTTCTGGACTTGGGTCCTGGCTATCCACGCCCTTGCCATCTACCTCTTCACCAGCGGCTTCCTGCTGACCCGGCTGATGCTCCCCGACATCTCCAAATGCGACGCCCCTCCAATCGCCGACAGCGCTTCGTCCAAGGCCCCTCTGAACGTCGACCAGGGCTGCTGGCATCCCAAGACCTTCGACCGCGCCGTGGTAGTTCTCATTGATGCGCTGCGCTACGACTTTACCGTGCCCTTCGCCAAAGACCAAGCCCACGCTTTCCACAACGCTTTCCCGTTCCTCTACGAATCATCTGTCCAGAGTCCCAGCAATGCTTTCCTCCGTCCCTTCATCGCCGACCCCCCGACGACCACCTTACAGCGCATCAAAGGCCTGACGACTGGCACTCTCCCCACCTTCATGGATGCCGGCAGCAACTTTGCTGGTACGGCCATCGACGAGGACAATCTTCTCATGCAGCTCCGAGACGCCGGCAAGAAGATTGCACATCTGGGCGACGATACGTGGTGGGCGCTGTTCCCTGAATACTTCGAGGCGAACATAAGCAAGGCCTACGACAGCTTCAACGTTTGGGATCTTCATACGGTTGACAATGGCGTCATCGACAACATCTTCCCTCTCATTGAGTCCAGTCGCAAGCAAAAGGACCAATGGGACCTGCTGATCGGACACTGTCTTGGAGTCGATCACGCAGGCCACCGCTACGGACCGGACCATGCCGCCATGACCAGCAAGTTGAAGCAGATGGACGACTTCGTGCGCAAGCTTGCTGCCTCCATCGATGACGATACTCTGCTGGTAGTCATGGGTGATCATGGAATGGACAGCAAGGGAGACCATGGCGGCGAGAGCGATGACGAGGTCGAGGCTGCCCTTTGGATGTACTCCAAGCGCCCGGTCTTTGGCCGCACCGATCCTGCTTTCGAGATTCCTCCCGGGACGGCAAAGAGCCACCGGGTGAACCAGATCGATCTTGTTCCTACTCTTGCTCTCCTCCTCGGCGTCCCCATTCCCTACAACAACCTGGGACGGCCCATCGAGGAGGCCTTTATTGGGCCAAAGAACAACAACTGGAAGAGTTTGGCTGCCGCCTCGCGGGTGGCTGCTGCGGGTATCGAACGATACCAAGCCTCCTACTTCGAGGCCCGAGGCATGACCCAGAGTACTGAGGAGGATTCTCCTTCTCAGCTTTGGCAACGGGCTCTAGCCCTCGCCTCGGGCAGTCAGGAGGAATACAATGCGTTCACGTCATTTCAGGAGGAGACTCTTCAGGTGTGCAAGGGACTCTGGGCTCGATTCGACGTCAAGCGCATGATTGCCGGAGTAGTTGTTGCAGCTGTTGGTGTAGTTGTGCTTCTCATGTACTCATCTCGCGACCCGGATGAAGACTACGCCGTGACAAACGATATCGAGCTTGATTTTGCCGAGAAGCAGCTGGAGCTTCTTGGTGTCAAGAATGAGGAGGATCTCGATACATCCGGTGACCCCGAGTTCCACCGCGACTTAGTGTCCGGTGTCTGGGACCTCCGTGTCATACTTGCACTAGTAGTCTCCTTCGGCGTTGCTTTTGTTCGAAAGGAACCAATGGAGGCCCTGGTTTCAGGAGGAACGACTACGCTGCTCATAGCCCTGGTTGTCTCGGTGTTCCATATGACCAAAACGCTGCACCAGGTCGGCAAGACTCTGCTCAATATCGTGCCAGACAACATCTGGGGCTGGATGGCATTTGTGTTCACCCTGGGCCAATCCATCGGCTTTGCTTCGAACTCATTTACAGTCTGGGAAGACTCGATTCTTCTCTTCTTTATCACCACTTTCGGCGTTGTGAGTGTCGTGAAATCATTCCGGCTCGAATCAACAGTCGACCGAACTCTCGCTATATACCACTCGATTTCCTTTATAATCCTGAGCAGGCTTGCCTCCTTTTCCAAGCTGTGCCGCGAGGAGCAGATGCCTTTCTGCACATCCACATACTACGCTTCTACGACATCATCCACATCTGCTCCTTGGCAACTCGCCATCCCCATCATCGTAAGCCTAGCGCTACCCAGCATCGTCAAGTCCTTCATCACCCCGAGCAAATCTTGGGCTGGACTTATGCCCACCTGGGTTACCGGAGTTTTCCGATTCGGCCTGTTCACCGCAGCCGCCTACTGGATCATCGATGCTGCTGACAATGGAGAGTGGTTCGCTGGTCGTGTCTCATCCGAGATTCTCAAGTCCTTCGGCAGATACGTCGCACAGCTCGGACTCGCCGTTGGCTTCATTGCCGGCTCTACGGCCTTCATCTGGGCACCTCCCTGTGTAGAGGTCGTCTCAACCGCCCCGCAAGTCCCTGGCTCTAAGCAGCCCCAGGCCCGCGTCACCATCCTTGGCTATGGAAACGCACACGGCGCCCGATACCTCATCCTCATCCTCAACCTCGTCGTCGGCATCTCCGTCGTAACGAAGCCCATGGGCATCGGCTCCCTGGGCCTGATGCTGTGGCAGATCCTCGCCCTCGCCGAGATCGTGGACCGCCTGGGCATAAAGTCCGAGGCCATCGGCCCCGTCATGCTCGCCATGCTCGGCAACTTCTACTACTTCCGCACCGGCCACCAGGCCACACTCGCCAGCCTCCAGTGGGACGCCGCCTTCATCCCCCTCGAGACGATCCGCTACCCCTGGACACCGCTCGTCGTGGCCCTCAACACGTTCGGCCCGCAGATCATCGCCGCCGCCAGCGTGCCTCTCGTCACCAGCCTGTGGAACGTCGGCCCCAAGCAAAAGGGCGTACTAGACTCCGTCTCGAGGGGGCTGGGCGCCTTCGTCGCCTACTACGCCGTCGAGGCACTCGCCTCCATGGCCTTTGCCGGATGGCTGAGGCGCCACCTCATGCTGTACCGCGTGTTCAACCCCAGGTTCATGATGGGCGCCCTGCTCCTCCTGGTTGTTGACGTGCTGGGCATCTGGGTTGCCCTGCTGGGTGTGCGAGGCAACACCTTGTCCGTCGGTGAAGTGTTTGGCTTCGCGGACTGATTTTGGATACTATCTATAGAGAAAAATAAGGGGGGGAGAATGTTTTGAGTTCAGGAGTGACGGACGGACTGTATTGGTCTAAATGGACTGCATATTCCCTTATGTTTTATTATCCATATGTTATACAAGCTATTGATTGTACTAGACTAGGCCCTGGAATAAATGGCAGCCGTAAATTGTCCACCTTCTTCGTTCCCACGTTTGTAGGTACGAATATAATACAAATAAAGATAATTTCTATACATCAGGCCTTGAGGCTTGGGTCCGGTTTCGGTATTCACCATGCTCTAACCTTGGACCATTGGGCCTGGAAGGCTTTTTTCCGGTATGACTCGGAGTATTTCTTATTCATGTTCGGCTGGACCGGTCCTATCCGAACATGAGCGGTGGCCTTGACGGCCATGCCTCCGCCCGGCCCCTGGATCCAGACATCCCACACCGAGATGGACTCCGGTGGAGGATTCTTCCTTACCCCCCAGAGCCACTTGTCTATCCAATCGAGAGTCTTCTCCACCTCCTCGAGGCTCTTCTCAATCTCCTCCGGGCTCCTCCCCAGCTCCTTTGGCCGCTGGCGCAAGCAGATCGTAGCTTCCTGCCCCACGAAGAGAGGGGACAGGTTCCTGTACGAGATCTTCAACACGTCGGTCACGGTGCGGCGTGGGCCGCGCACGGCGTGGTTGAGGGTCCGCAGCATGAGGGCCAGGGTGAGCGGGCCGTGGACGATGCCCTTCTCCCGGTCCAGGTGGATGAAGTGCGCGTTGTTGGTCAGCGCCGAGAACTGGAACAGGTGCTCGGGTGTTGGTGTGAACTTGTATTCGAAGTCGGGTTCTCCCGGTGCTGTAGGTTTTGAGTTTGGTCAGCGACTACGTTTCAACCGTTCTATGCCATGATTATATCGAGATCAATATTCAAATGTCGGGAGTAGGGGGGAGAGATAGGGCGTATGGGAGTGTTTGAACCTACTTCCAAACGACGTGGCCTTTGGATCAAAACTAGGCACAAAGGCCAGCAACCTGGTCTCATTGATATAAATCTTCTGATTAACCGGCTTCTTACCCACCTCTCCTGATCCCTCCTCCTCCTCCGTCCCGTACGTTCTCTTCAGCTCCACCACGGCCTTGGACTCATCTCCACGCCTGAAGACATGCATGCCGGCAAACGTCTCTCTGCAGGTCCAGACATACGGGACGTTCCCCTCAGGCTGGTAGCACCGGACCTGCTGGGCCCAGTCATCGGAGAAGGTCAGCGAGCCGCCCACCCACAGCCTCGTCGCCCCCGGCTTGGTCAGGTCAAACCCGCCAGGCACATGCTGGCTCTCGGCGCCGTCCGGGGCCAGCTTTGACGCGGCGGCGTGGATTGGGAAGTAGACGAGGTGGGAGCCCTGGGGCATGGGCTTCTGATGGTCTTTGTGAAAATTGAAGGTGTCGGGCAGGAGGTCGTTGAGGAGGGTGTTGAGCCGCCTGGACGGGCCGGCAACGAAATGGTCCTTCCACATCCATCCCGCTTGGCTGATGCTTGGGGGGGTGTAGGGACCGGCTACTGGGTCATCACCAGGCGTGGGATCGCTGCTGGCCGTGCCGTTGAAACGCCGTTGCAGCAACGCGGCACCGGGCGTCCGCGCTTGTGGCAGGACGGGGGAACGTAGGCTCAATCGACTCAGAGTCTTTGGCCTCATTATCCGTGTAGCTGCCATAATTGCGAGCCCATGTGAGGCGAGAGGTCGAATTTTCAGCTTGACGGATGAGATTCTTTTGCTCTGCGTTTTAAAGTGAAAACGACAGACAACTTAACTACCCTATATCGGACTAGATGCACCCAAATAATTTTACACTACCATTTATCTAACATGTTCGGTACATGGCAACCAATTTATTAGATATTACTTATTCCTTAATTGTAAAGATACTATTGCGTTATGAAAGGGGTCTGTACTTCAACAATCATGTCGTGTGAGAAGATCTGGCTATGCACGGTGTCGTTTTCAAGTTCTTCATCAGTCTGCACCAGATACGACCGAAATTATATGTCATTGATGATTCCTAAGATACCATTATTTCATTACTACGTCTAATCGTAAAATATTAGATGCGTAAATCACAAGAACCATACGGGCATTAACCCATTCAGATTCGAATCCTATCCCATCGTTTTACATGTTGCCAGCAGATCTGTTGGTCTACGCGATATTAGATCATCCGCCAGCACCCATCTAGCACAGAGAGTCTAATGATGCTCTGTGTTTCTCCTCTTGACCAACCCAGACTAGGCAGGGGGCGAGTCGCCTCGGTATGCCCTGATTAGTGAGACGTGATTAGGTCATTTCCGCCTCGTCGTACATGCACCGGCAGTTCAGTAGCATACTTGGCAAAATCGACTTGCGGGCCATCCAGGATCTAGAACCAAAAGATCCTTGCCAATAATATTCCAATTGGCTGGTTGGAGATTTTGCCGTACACTCAGACCTCGGACCCTTACTGCAGGTACTCGGAAGGAGTCTTGACGTTGTTCTTGCCAGCCCAGGACTCAAGGTCGAACTTGGCCTTGAACTGCTCTAGAGCACCGTCAAGACCGTACTGGCTAGGAACACCCTCAATACGGTGGGTAGAGTTGAGGTTCTTAACCAGCACAATCTGGAAGCAGGTGGCACTGCCCTGGCGAGAGACGATGGTGGAGTAAGCAAGGAAGTACTCCCAGATCTGCGAAATCAAGTCAGCACGTTAACCTAAAACGGGAACTTGAAGAGTGAAACGTACGCGGAACCAGCGCTTGCCGTACTTGGCCTCGACCTTGTCACGGTTCTCGAGCCAGTTGCGGTACCATCTCCAGAGAGTAGCAGAGTAGTGAACACCAATGGTGTCAATGCCCTTGACCTCAAAACCAGCGGCCTCGAGCTTGTCAATGGTCCAACCAAGAGGGGTAGAAGCGTCAGCACCAGGGAAAATGTACTTGTTCATGAACAGACCCCAGGTGAAGTCATCGTACTGCCAAGCCTTACGGAGACCAGCATACTGCATGAAGAAAACACCATCGTCGTCAAGCATGTTGTAGATCTGAGAGAGGAAACCAGAGAAGTGACGGACACCGACGTGCTCGGACATCTCGAGACAGGTAATCTTTTGGTAGCCACCTTCGGGGACAGGGACATCACGGTAGTCGCAGCACACAATCTTGCTCTGCTCCTCGGGGATGCCAACCTTGCGCATGGCGCTGTTGCCCCAAGCAGTCTGGTTGCGACCAAGAGTGACACCAGTAACCTTGGCACCGTAGTGCTCACTAGCGAAGCGTGCAAGAGTACCCCAACCACAGCCAAGATCAAGCATGGTCTCACCCTCCTTCAGTCCGATCTTCTCGCAGACAACAGCAAGCTTGTTATCCTGGAGCTCCTCAAGGGTCTCCTCGCGGTCGATGTCGCTGATGATACCTGAGGTGTAGATCATGCGCGGGCCGAGGAACCAGCCGTAGAAGTCGTCACCGCGGTCATAGTGGTCACGGACCTGCTCCTCGTCTAAAAGACCATTCATTAGCGTCCAGGCCAAAGAGCTTAGCAGGATATACTGCGCGGATTACTTACCCTGGGAACGAGTGTGCATGATCATCTCGGGGAGGAATCCAAGAAGGAAGAAGCGAATAAGACCAATAGTGAAGCGGAAGCTAGCCCAGTCGTGGCGGTACTCGAGGGCCTCAAGAGCATCGCCCTTGAAGTCAACCTCACCATCAAAGTACATCTCGTGGAAGGTCTCCATTGCGATCTTGGTCTGGCCACGGTACTTGAGGCGATCGGCCTCATTCTTGAAGTCCAGGTAGTGCTCAACACCACGGTTGGGGAGACGAGCCTTCTCGGTCTTGCGAGGGCTGACCGCAGAGACGATGAGCCAGAAGGCAGCAAGGAGGGGGAGGTCGATAAGGATAGCAAAGAAGACGAAGGTCTTTAGGCCACCACCGACCTTCCATTTGAGGTAGTAGGGAATGCCGACCAGGAGGGAGATCAGGAGAGTGTTGCTGAACGAGTCGGCGCCGGAGCCATCCGCAGGGAGGGGAGCATTGGCAATCGCGGGAGACTGAGAATTGGCGGGTTAGCCGGAATGATCGCGGGCATGAGGGTAAGGAATTGCGGGAAGCGTAATAGCTTGAGCCCATGGATAGACGCCAAATCAGGCAACAGGAATCATTGGGGATAGCCACGGAGCCGCAATCTTGTCAGCTGTGCAGTCATGCAGCATTCGAACATACCTTGGTGATGGGGACACCACAGTCCTCTGCAGGGGCATAGGGGACGGCGGCAGGAGTCTTGACGAACACGAAGTCCTTCTCTTTCACTTCTGACTTGGACATGATGGGCGAGCTGAAAGCACGACCGGCCACAGTCAGTCAATCAGGGTCAATTGGCAAATTTTCTGGCAATTGGCCTGAGATGTTGTACGGTGGGAGGTTGGAGACAGCTGTCGAGGACCAGACGAGAAAGCCAGCATACCCTCAATGGAATTTTCCCCTCCCCCTGGCTCTAGTTCCTTTTAGCGTTCATCCCCCCTGTGGCTTCAGTAGGGGACCAGCTAATTGCTCTAGTTAGGGGGGGCGGTGAATAAAGCGTTGGCCCACTAATTAAGTACACAGCACTCAAGCTGTCAGTGCCGGCTCTTAGGCCCAGCAAATGGGAGGCTGTGGATAAGTCAACAGGATCACCCTGATAAGATAGTGGACGGCAAAGCTTATCAATGGCACTTTGGCGAGGAGAGCAGTATGATATAATGCAAGTGCGACTTGGTTCCTGCTTCACTTACATGTCAGAGACAGTCGTCATTGAGTAAGTCTCGGGTTGTTCCGCGAGTGACCCCAACTCTCGGAAAAAGATGCAGGGGCGGATTAAATCCTCGTGGGCATCACTTGCCGAATAACCCTTGCTGGGATCTACGGATTCTAACCTCAGCTCCAAATAATACGAGACTCTGAAACTCTCACGATGATACATACAACACGTTTTACAACCACACCCATGAAGAAACCCAGCCTGCTTATACACGCATCGCGATATCCAAGCCTCATATTTGGTGCATTGATTCATATAGCAATTAGCTTGCTATGAGCTCGTATGAGGCCTCTCTTTGGGGGCTAAAATCTTGTCACGAAGAGGCACGGATAGCTTGCCGCTTGGTTAGTTGGGGGCCTTGATCGGCAAAACACAAACAAGGGATATCTTTCATGACAAGATGAGTGACACTCCCACTGAAGAGTTGACTCAATTGTAAGCGCGCGCTGGCTGACGGTGGTTGTTTCTGACATCAATGCGGCCACATCTCTCTTGATACAAGCGCGCTCGATCACATCAGAGCTGAATATCATGAGGCGTTTTCCGCCCTGCCTGCGCCACGATCCAGCCGCGATCAGCCTGAGATTAAAGTCCCAAGAAATCTTAGACGCGGCGAATTATCCAATGGCATTGCAGAAACCCCTGGCTTATTTTCGCAATTAAGTTATCCTTGCTCATCGCGAAGATATGCCCAGATGTGGTAGGGGAGCTCGAGCTAATATGCGCTACACGCGCGGCTGAAAGGTTCGACAGCAACAAGTCTCCAACCACATCAATCAATCCCCTGCCGCCTTACAAGGCGGATTACGGGCTGGAGCCTTGCATCCCGGAGACGTAGGGCTGCATATCAAGCTCCTTTTTGTGGATTGCTCTTCACGATATCCTCTGTTTAGGGGTAATTTGATGAAGGAGTATACACCTCACCCCGGAACAGGCAAATCGTCTGATCCCACCGGACGCTCAAGTTCCTAATGGCCATCGACGGCAGTCCCCATTGGCCTTCGGTGAGCCCACGAGGGCCAGAACCTGCTCAGCATTGACGTAGACGGACGGCTTCTTGGTCAGATAGAAAACCAGTCACTCGCCGGTCACTCAACTCCACTCCCGATGGCCCAATCTGACATCCGACGTCACCAACCACACACCGAGATCAGCCATATGTAGAAGGGACAAATAGATATTTGTAAAACGCGAGGTAGGAAGGATATGAGACAGCAGTCCACGGCGACCCGGATAACAAATCCACCCATCACATAATCACGCCGTTGATGATACTTTGGCCGAAGGACCCAGCAATTAGACTTCGAAACGGTTCTATAACGGTCAGACGCACCGCGTGGGCAACCTCGCTCACATAATCGGAAGTCCATGTGAGCGTCTCTATTCCATCGCTTTCGTCTAGGTGCAGCGGCTCTCTTACACACCCTCGCTGCGGTTTACTTACTTCTCGGCGTCCTCCGCCCGAGTGTTCGGGAGGTGCGGCCTTCGGTTCACGTCGGTACTCGCGTGGCAGTGGGCGTTGGAGAACATTAAAAGGCGTGGCTCCGTTATGCAGTGGAATAGCGGAGAGAGGAAAGTGCAGGGATCGCACACCATCATACCATGCTGCCAATCAAGCCAAGCCTTGGGGGCTAGGGGCATTGATGTTGAATGACGGAGAGGTCGCAGGCGGTATCTCAAACCGGAAATTTGCTTCCTGGCTGTGTATCAATGACACAACAACATGGAGACGAGGACAGATCGACAGCTGGCGGCGATTAATGTCGAATTGAGTTGAAGCAGCTCCAGAGCAGAAGCGTATTGCGCTCAGTTATGACGCAGGTTTTACCTAAGAAGGGTCGCAACACGATCAAGCAGCCCTACGCGGTGGATCGGCCATAGCAAATGAT